TCTTCCAAATAAGTTTTAAAATGAGGGCCCAGAAGACGATTTCGTAGTCCAGCGAAATAAGCATATTACTATCGACTTGCCAGTATCGATTCTAATAAACCCAAAGTCGAAATTCCAAAGGGTCGATAAAAACGATATTAGGGCTGTGGGTAGGTTACTCCTAAGGAGTGAACTGCCTTGTCCCGGACTAGTGGTAATTCTCGGGGTAGGCTACTCCTAAGGAGTGAACTACCTTATCCCGGACCAGTGGTAGTTCTCGGCAGCTCCACAAGTAACCCTATATAGCAGGAGTTGGTCCCCTTCCCAAGTGGCCCTTAGGGTTAGGAATTACTAGAGGTAGGTAAGGTTAATAGAAGGGTAACGCCTTCTTTCGTCGATCACCGCTAGAGCCTGTCGGGCTATTATAGGAAGCTTGATCCCTCCGTTTCTTTATCTTTTCCGAATATTAGGGCTGTGGGTAGCTTACTCCAACAGCGTAAACTATCTTATCCCGGACCAGTAGTTGGTAGAAGGGTAGCATCTTCGTCCATCGATAGCTACTAGAGCCTATCGGGCTATTATAAGAAGTCCGTTCCTCCGGCTACGGCGAACTTCAGGACTATACGTTAGTAGTGGGAAAGATAGTAGAAATCTGCTAATAAATTCCAATTCCTTTAGTTCGACGGTCATTCCTAGCCGTAGAAGGAAGCCTTGTTTAGGTAGAAGGAAGGATAGCCTAAATATCGCTGCGTACGGGTCCTTCTAGGGAAATTGACCTTCGAAGGACTAGATAATCTCTTAGAATCCAAAGTTCTATTAAATTTCAATAAGGAATGCCTTCTATCTAATTAATATAATCGGCTATCTTTAATAAATTTTAAACGTCTTTAAGATATTTAGTATAATTCTTTTATCCCGTCCGCTTACTATTAAAGGATTTGGGTAATATTAACGCTAGATATTTAAAAAAATAGTCTTATATATTAGGGGTACCCCTTAGAGAAGTAGGGAAATCCGTTAAAAAGTACCGATTAATATACCGGTTTAAAAATTATACTCTACTTCGGAGCTTTACTTAAGAATTTCTATTAGGAAAAAAAGTAGAAAGTATTATTCTTTATTAAAGATAAAGTAAGAAAGTTATACTAGTACGAACGATTCGGGTAGTAATTAACTAATAAAAAGAGAAATAAGAAAGTTCGTTTCACTTTAACTATATTTCGCGAGCTAAATAGGCTGCTTTAAAAGTAAGAAAATTATACTAATACGAATAATTCGGGTAGCAACCAATTAATATAAGGAGAAATAAGAAGGCTCGTTTTATTTTAATTATATTTTGCGAATTAAAAATTCTTCGAATAATCCTTTCGACTAACGATTATCCCCTCTCCGGCTTAATAATCCTTACTAATAGGAAGAGGCTAATAATTCTACGAAAAGTCGTTACTATACTAATTTTCCGCTTTAGGTCCGTATTATTTTTCTCTTAGAATTACCGTAGGTATTCTATAACTTATTCTTCGACTTTAGGATAACCATCGTTTTCTAACGACCTAAGTAAATTCCGAATATTCTTATTCGGTCGGCCGTATATATCCTCGGCTTTAACTTTAGCTTTAAAGCAATCGGAATATTAGCTTCTAAAATCGTAGTAAATTAAAATATTATTAATAACGATATTGCCGAAAATAACTTCCTAACTCTTTTTAGGGAACGGTACCCTAGCGTAAATACCGACGATTAAGGCTAGGGAAATATTAGGGTAACCGATTTAAACGGCGGTAGCTATAGCGGCAGCTAGGACTTTACTTATAGTATTAAAAAGGACGATAACTATATTAAACCTCCCGATCCGCCTATCCTTCTAATTATATATATATATATATATATATATATTGTAAAGGAAGTAACGTCGGAAAAGCGATAGCGCCGATAGGATTTAACTAAGGCGACGGTTCCTTAAATTCTTAAGGCCGAAAATACGATAGCAGGCAATTTTAATAGATATTTAAAAAAGCTAATTATTTTTTAGTAATTATATTAGCAATTACTAATTATTAAATAATATAATTTAAATATTTTAAGTAATACTAAGTAAATATTTACTTAATTATCCTCCGCGTCCGTTCCGTAGTTATAACCCCGAAAATAATAGAGCGGTAGAAGTATAACCGGATAATAATTACCGAAGCCGAATAATTCGTAATAGCTTCCAACGCTTTAATTTTTAAATTAAATAGTATTATTTTTCAAACTTCATCGGGGACTATTTTATTAACGTATTAATTAATTTAAAATTTAATTTAATAGAATTTATACTTTTAACGTATATATAATACTATATTATATATTAAAATTCTTAATTCCTTAATTACATTTCGTACCTTCTCCTTATTTAATTATTCGGAATTCTTATAAAAGGTTTTTACAACGATATTTTTTAAGCTTCTATTGTCTTTAATAGTAGATTTATATATTATTAGCGCTACCCTAAGGAAATTATTGATATTTAAAAAAATAATAGCCGCCGCTTTAAATTATCGAAGCGCGATAGCCTTTAATCTACTAATTAAATACTTTTCTATTAAGGTATAAATTTTTATATAAGTTAAAAGGGCGTCCGCTACCGGTTTATTAATATTAATTCTATATCCATCTATTTTTAACCTATTAAAACTACTATACTTATATTATAACCGTACGTTATAATTAAAATAATATAAATAATATACTATTATATAGACAAATCGAAAATTATTATTTAAGAGGTTAATCTTTCCTTCTTATACTTCCTAAATATAATATTAATTTAGTATCGTTACTAGTATATAGATTATCATTAGCTTTAAAACTTCCGCGGCAAGCTATAGAGAAGAATTCGGACTACGTACATACGATGGCCCTGTATACATGGTATTCCCGGTGCTATTGGGTGTCTGGAGTGGAAAACGGCGCTCGGTAGGCAAAACGGCAGATTGAAGGAAGAGGATCCGGTTGCGGAAGTCAATGTCGCACGTGAAGAAATAAACCGAAAGACACACTACTTCGCAGAAAGAGAATATACGTTGCATTAAAAAGGATGTGTATAGGAGACGCTCGTATGTGGATGTAATAAGACGCGGTAGCCGTATCAATTCGAAATCCAACCGAAAAGCTCTGTGGAGCGGATTTGGAATATAACTAATAGAGGTAAATATTTAAATATCCTTAATTATAAGCCGGATAAATATAATATATTCGGGGTAGATAAAGAAGTAAATAAGGAGTTCGGTAAGGCGAGGGGGATTAAATGGATAATAATAAAGTAAAAATAGGGCTATTCGTTTTAATATATCGATATATAACCCGAATATTAAATCCAAAATATAACGAAGTCGGCCGCAATTATTATCCTAAATAATAATTACTTCTAAATTAGGTTAAATAATATAATAATTAAAATTAAGGGACGTAGACTAAAAAAATACCGGAATAAAACTTTTATTATTTAGTAGCTTAAAATAAATATCGTTCGGGAGCCTAAGGGCGGAAATTAGGATTAAAATTAATTGAAAGAAAATTTGGACGTAAAATAAATATACGTACTAAAAGTAATGCTTTATAGCAAATTAAAATTATTATTAAGATAGCTACCCGCCAATTCTAAACTTTAATCGTCCAAAATAGGAGAATAAAATAATACTAAATCGTTAGCATATTAACGTTTATAGTCTAAGTTTCGTATTGGAGAATATACTATAGTTTTGTATAGTAATAGAGGATAACCGCCCGATAATTATATATAATTGAATCGATTAGCCGCTTCGGCTATAGTAGAGCTTTTAGAAGTCGTAATAGTAGTCCGAATGTGCTAGTCGTAAGGCGGATAAGAAGAGAGAGGAAAAATAAACGAATTGAGCTTATACTTTTACCCGAATTATTACCGGATTAAAATATATAGTAAATTTATCGATAATAGATAGAATAGTTATATAATCGAATAAAATTCTATATTGCTCCCCTTTTGGAATTAGAGGAGTGATTTGAGGGCTAACCAAAGTCGGTAGTCGTATTAGGTTGAAGCAAAGGCTAAGAGACCGTCGAATAGGCAAACTGTGTATAGAAGGCACGGGCGGATTAGCGTTGGCTTCGAACTCGACAGATCGGATATAAGCAAGGTCGATCAATAAGTACAGAGAGGTAGTTTTCGCGTGGTTTGTGAATCGGACGGTTCCAACCAGAATAAAGGCTGCTTTTGGGAGTAGGATAGAAGTATCGACATGGAGTTGAATCTTCAAGTCGGATATCATACTCAACTCTCTACCTCGAGAATTTTGATAAGCTCTCGTAATAGTTCGGTCTCGCCGTTACCTAGGTATATACGTTATGGTCGTTATGGTCTGAGTACCGAACAGCGGAAGATCCTACACAACCAAGGCTATCGTTAAGTCATCCTCCTTACTACCGACAGACAGGTCGTCCTGGCCGACCTTAACGTAGACCAATTACTCGAATCCTTGGCCTATAGTAAGAAGGATCGAAAACGCTTTTATTAAGTACCGAAGCGTCGGTTTCATAGCTTACACCTACTTGTTGGAAGCGTGTTCTGCCACTGGAAAAGGAAATATTCAAGATCCCGGACACGGTAGTATATGCCTTTAACGACGCCCCGGCCCGATAGACCGACACTTATACCAAAGAAGTATTTAATAAGCACGTCGCCAATCCGCCGGAAGACATACTAGGACGATATCGACGTGTTCAGTATCTTACTCGATAAGTAGCATCATATTCAAAAACTAGCATACAAAATCGGGAGCCAGTTTCTCCAATAAATGCCATTAGAATAGTGTTAACTTCCTGGAGCAGCTGTAGGAAAGCAGCTGGAACGGAAGAAGAGCTTCGCACGCTCGATAGGAAGGGGGCCTTACCACTTTACACTAGCCCAAAACGAAGGGGAGGAGCTCTGTTAATGAGGCCGGATTAGATTTGTAAAACGATTGTAAGGTATTGCTCCGAAGCCTCGTATAAAGACCAAAAATTGAACAGAGTGGGATTCCAACCAACCCACGCCCCTTTTGAGACTAGGTACGAGTTGGATTCATAAAGGGAAACCTAAACGTAGCGCTATAGACCGCTCGGCCATCTGTCTAATTCGACGGTTAAGCTTTAGTATTCAATCTATATTGTATTTTTTAACCCTACCACGTAATTAAAAAGACCCGTTTCCTATCCTTCCCACTCCCATAGTCGTAGATATGCAAATATATCACCTAACTAGTAGTTAGGTCGGTAACGACCAGCGAATCCCAGGTATAATATATCAAGTTTTTTCTTTTTATTATTTGATACGTTTAGAATTATTGTTGCCCTTGCAAGGCTGCGATGTACTAGGGGCCACCAGAATCTACATTAGCGCCGAGCTGCGGGGACGTTTTAGCGTATATATCACCTGTTTCCTCGACCGAATCCTCCTCCTGCCCCAAATATTACCTGCTTTCTTATTCCCGTAGCCGTCGCCTATAATCTTCGACTTCGGCTTTCCACTTCTTTACAAGCTCTTATCTCGTCTCCTAATTAGATACGTAATATATGACTGCACTCATTGGGTTATCCCTCAAATACTCTATTACCCAAACTATTTTATACGAATCGGTAGCTATCACCTGAGGATAAAACGTCGCCTAAATATATTGTACCGCAATATAAAGTCTAGTCTCGACACGTAGAGAGTCGGAATGAGAACGAGCAGCGCGAAGCGACGTCCCATCCTAGTCTGAGTCGCATCGGCAGTCAGTTTGATTATCGAGCCGTGCATTAAGCTCTTTGATGCGGGTTTCAAGCTCGGCGGTGCGTTCGGCCTCATAAACAACACGTTCGAGAGTGGCGGTGTGTCGGTCCTCTAGCTCTTTGATGCGGTGTACGAGGCGTTCGTTTCGTTTGACCATATTGCAGAAGGCGCCGGCGACGTCTTGGTAGCGTTCCTCTAGATTGCGGAAGGCGAGGACGAGGTCTTGGAACGTTTCAGGAGATGGAGGCTCTGATATACGTTGGCGTTTTAGGTCTAGAGGTCTGTTAGGAGCGCCAAGATACTGGTAGCAGGCAGGCGAATATACCAGATAGAGTGGGGGGTTGTGCCCGAGTCTTAGAGCCACTCGCCAAATAAATAGATGGGCCACTTTCATTGATGCCTTCCTGATCTATATAACGGGGCAACGGGTCGCCAGAGTGTCGACGCTTGCGGTCTAGAAAAAAGAGGTCTTAGCAGGGGCGTAGATAACGACAGTAGTCACAGGAACCTACCGAAATGTGAGAAGTGTGCTGGACTCGCGTTGGTTTCCAGCTTTCCATCTAGAACCCTTGCGTCTTTTACGGTACCACTAGGGCCGTCGTTGGATACGGCCCCGGTCATATCCGAGTTAATAATCTGGCCGCCTGCACCCCTATATAGCCTTTGCAAGTCTGCAAGGTGTTCGTCCGTCCTCGGTCGGTTGCGGGTATCGGTGGACGAGAAAATCAACGGGAACAAGGCCAACTGATCTCGAGCCTCGGGCATAGAGAGCATGTCCAAGTAAATGGTGAGAGTTCGTACCAGAGAAAGAGCGCTCATAGCGCTAAGCAGATCTTTGGACCTTTCCTTGGGTTCCAAGGGCCGACCTCTAAGGCTAACAAAGCGAGGCGGCTGGGTTATAACGAAGCGTAGGCTGGTGAACATGTTATCCTTCAAGGCTGATATAGGCGGGTTGACATTTGCTTCGAGTTCGATGGATCGAATGACCTCGGGATATATGATCAGGAAAAGCTGGACATTGGTGGGGTTGCCGGCCTTGAGAGAAAGATGGCCACGGAGGAAGAACAGGGCGCGTTGTTCCGAAGTGTCGACGTGCAATTCCACCTTGAGCTCTGACGTATATTGCAGACGATGGTCAACATCATCCCAAACAACCACTCCGGTTCGACCATATAGATCGATCTTGCAATGTCTTGTATCGTCGCTCGCATCCGATGCCGTCGATATATCGTCGTCGTGGAAACTGTAGACCAGTTCGTTATTACCATAATCTCATGCGGAGAGGATGGGGAGTTGTTTTGTAACGGTGAAGGGACAGTCCTGCCGCTCTTGCGGAACGGTGTAGCTGTCGAACGGGCTCCATAAACGGGAGGCAAGACAGCAGAGAGACCGTCTGCGCAAACACCGTCTGCCGAAGCAAACGGCCCCCCTGCCCGCGGCCCTGCCAAAGAACCCCAGTCCTTTCAACAAGCGTACCCGACGAGCAGGCAACCTGATGAGTAGGATTTGGCAGGCTCTTGACTTATGGATGACGGAATTCGAGCAATAGTGCCAGCAAAGAGACGGAACGCCCGTGCATCCTGGGGGGGGGACATATAACTCCAGGACGGGGGAAGGGGGGTGGGCATGGGAGGTGTGAACAAAACCTTGCGTCGGTGGTTATCGTTTACTGTACAACGACATAACTGTCGGCCACACCGTGACGGGTGCTCCGAGCTGCGTCGTCAGCGAGAAACAAAACCGAGTTAGTCATGCGCTGAAGCTTGATTGTAGGCATATGAAACAACTAACTTTAGGGAGGTCGACGCGTGTGGCGCTTGATCATGGCTGTTATTATCGAGAGGGCTGGGACGTTGACGAGGTGATGGAGGGTCGGGCTGTGTCGAGTCCCCTTGAGGCTGACGAGGTGGTGCGTGGGGCAGCGAGTCCGCCATGGTGTCCGGGTCGGGTGGGGATGCAAGCGAGGTGGTAGATGGGGTTGATTGAAATAGATGAGATGAATGGGATAGATCTGAGTGGAGTGTGGAAAGGGATGGGATGGGAATGCCTGTTTTATGTGGTGCGACCGCAGACTAGTCATATGACGCGCTCACCGCATCCCTTTGGCCGTAAGACCATGGATGTACAAGATATGTTTTTTTGGACATGCTCCCGTCTGCAGGCCCAGGGAGCATTTCGTGTAGGATCACTGAAATACGGTCAAAGGGATTTGAACAAGACAACGCAGCACCTTCTGCCGAGTATGACCCCGCTCGGTAAAGCAGACGATCGAACGACCGCTTAGAAGCTCGAGGGTGGATAACAGAATGTCCGGTGTCAAAATGATGGGGCTGCCTCCCTTTATTAAGCAATGTTTGTCTCGAACTTGCCCGAGAAAAACCTCGCACACCTCCCGTCTTTCACTATTGGGCCGCACTTTTCACTCCCAGATTCACCAAATTGTTACCTTAGCAATATCTACGCTACAAAAAGGGAACGCATCGACGAAACTCGGCGCGCTAAGAGGGGGCTTCCCCGAGTTTGCCAACGCTTCGACAGAGGTCGTTCTAAGCTCTTATTGTCGTGGGTCCAAACGATGACTTTTAGTGAGCATTTGCCTCTGGCGCGAAGTTGATGCCAAGCTTGGGGTCTTGGCTTCTTGGCTTGAACGCATACGGTCGGTCGATTTATCCTGCTCGCCTTTTCACACAGTGATGCTGCATGCCCCCAAACTTGTGGTGAGTGTCCCGTATCAGGTCCGGGGTTTATCTCCTTTCCATCCTCCAATCACGCATGGATTCTCAACCGGTCAATAAATAAGCCAACGATAAGAGATGGCATGTGCAGCTGGCCCCCACACCCTCCCCGAGATGGAGGTGTGCTTTAACTTGGAAGTATTGAGCTGGTTCGCTCGTCTGGGGTATATCCACTGCAAGCTGCTGCAAGCCACGCCTGAAATACAAGAAAATGTTCGCCAATCACCTCACCTCATATCCGGGCGCCCCTCACCACTTCCATTGCGTTCCATCCCAAGTGGATCGCTTTTACTTGCAACGGAAAGGACACTCAAGGCCCGGGCCGGGCATGAAAGTGCTGGTGGGACCCGATAGATGGAGGGCTGGCGGGGTTGAAAAGGTGGGCACAAAACCAAAAGCCCCCTCTTGGCGCGCCGAGTTTCGTCGATGCGTTACAAGATGATGCGGCCCAACCGTGCAGCGAGGCTCGCGCGCCTTCAAATTGAAGTGGGTACATAAAAGTGGTGTCAAGATGGCCGTGTCATTAAAGTGTCTTGATATTTGCGTGATCATGATCATTGACTTTGGCGTTTTGATTGTCAAGTGATGAGGCTGATTTGTTGATGGGGAGTTGGCTGCCTGGAGTGCCAAGCAATGTTGGACGCCAAACGGGATGTACCGCTGCAGGCCAAGTGGCTCGACCCACTAGCATTTGTGCGTTCCATCTTTAACAGAGAAAGCAGAGATCGACGAAGAAACTTGGTAGTGACCGCACACTCTTTTCATAGATGAGCCGACAAGTGGATCCAGAATGAGCCAATCACACCCCAATTTCAAACGAGCAGCGCAACTTGCAGACAAGTAGTGTAATCTGGTCTGACTGGGACTCATCTACAAAGATATTGGCGGCTGCGTCAGCAGTGTGTTGCGAGCCAATCTCTATGGGTATGATATGCCACGATGAAGGGGAAGAAGTAGGTCAAGGCAAGTAGATGAAGAAGGTAGGTTAAGGCAGGTGGATGAAGGAGGTAGGTCAAGGCAGACAAGTGAAAAGTCGGGCTTGTGCATACGTTAAATGGAGTTGGCATCAAATCCTAGAGCTGTGGTTGGCTTGTCGAACGCCGCCAAATTGCAGGCGTCTTCCTGTTCCGCAGCCCTGCCCCGTATACATCTCTCTCAGCCAATCGACTCGTCTACAAAGGTATTGGCGGCTACGCCAACAGTGTATTGCAAGCCAACTACTATGGTTATGACATTCCAGGATGGAAGGGAAGAGGTAGGCTAATATAGGCAGGAACAGGTCTCTCGTGAAATGTATCCCGAAGAATTGGAGAAGTAGTCTAGGGTAACTGGCATGTATCCCAAAACTTCGTGTGTCTGAGACGGTGTGATGACTGAGGGTAGAGCAAGCGCCCCCATCTTATTATTCGCGGAAATTTCAAGTGGCCGAACGTTCACGCATCCATACAAATTCAGGTAGCAACCGTCTCATTTAGGTGTCCAGCTAAGGACATTTCTTTTTAGAAGCGGGGCATTCTAGACCTAGAGACTTCAGGGCGCCAATTAATAAATTCGACTTAGGCGAAGGCCGTAGTTTTCTATTATAGAGTCTATAAGGTTAGTAATAGCGGCCTAATAATTTATACT